CAAGAGAATGTCATGTGACACACAGTCAAAAGCTTTCGAAAGATCGCACAGCATTATAGCCTTGTTCAAGTGATTCTACAACGTCACCGACAACATTAAGAACTGCCTGTACTGTTGAGCGGGAGTTTCTGAAGCCAAATTGAGAGTTATTAAAGAATCCATTCATACAATTGTTTTTTGATCAATTTCTTAGGTATTTCAAGTCGTCTGTAAACCAAGACACTGGAGAATGCTTATTATTTTTAAGTTATGAAATGTATTGACAAAAAAGTTTGCCAAAAGATCTACATCTGACAAACCTAAGCAAAATAGACTCCAATCCACACTTGTTAAATGACGTTTAAACTTATCTATTCCTTTCATCGATATAAATCGTCTCTTAACCAGTTGGGGTATATTCTGAAAAACAAGGCTCGAAAACACCTACCAAAAATCGTTGTTCTGCTACATTAGTTATTATATTATCAATACAGTTGGACGAAGTAGCTCTAATTCTCGTATTCTCCAAGATTGTAACTACCATGCCATACGGTTCTGATTGTATGAATGAGGAGACATTTTTAGTCTTTATGAAACATTTCATAGATCATGTTAAGCCAACCAAAGAAAAAAAGTGTTACTTCTACTTGACAACCATGACTCTCATCTATTTATAAAAACTATCGAATTGTGCAGACACGGCATTGCCTATTTTTACCTATATTAATAATTTCAGACATATGTACTGTAACAATAAACTATAACTTTCAGCTAGATGCAGAGACAATTATAGATTACAATATTTTCAGACGTTTTAAATAATCCCAAAGAAAAATTAAAAAAATCATAATTCAAACTATACACTATTTCTGGCCAGAGTTGGTATGATGAAAGGATACTTTGAAGATGTCAGTATTGCTAGTTCTCTTAGGTTTCACATTAAAATTTATAAGTTCAACAAGTTCCGGGAAATTTTGATTATTTTGTCAACTAGTGTAAGATCTGATTCTAATCTTCCATGAGCCAGAGTATTCAACTTGTGATACACTGTTTGGAGATAATGAATATTCCTGGAGTTTAATTCCAACACCAAACCGTTATTTCAACACCTCAAGAGGTGTTTCGATCACCAAGTGATCATCTTCAAGAGGAAGATTAACCTGCATAATCTTCCTCTTGAAGATCTTTTTTTGAACACTTGAGGGGCACCAAATTGTGGAGTGGTATTCAATTATTGATCTAAAAAAATCTGTTTTTCCGTTAATCAGCTGTCGCCCCCATACAAACGACAACTCTCAGAAGTTGAGAAACTTGTGCGAGCCAAGGACTAACGAGGTTTTACCTTTTAACGTGTGATTCCTAACAATTGAACAATATATGATTTTTAATGAAGAGAGATAATTCATCCGCAGATCTAAGAGTGAAACCTAACATTTCGTGATTGATTCCTGAATCTTTGATTGTATTTTTTGTGTTAGTGATCACAAATGAGTCTGTGAACGATGACAGCGTATTATAAAAACTCAGGACTGTGAGGGGAAAATGATACCAGAAAAAATTACTTGTAACTTATTTTATTCCATCCATATATTTCACCTCAAACACTGACTAATCAGTCAATATAATCATCGCAGATTTCCAAAAAATAATCTGAAACATTTTATTGTTTATTTTCATTCGCATATAAAATATCATACATTTGGGTGTTTACAAACTTATTCTAGATGTACAACAATGGGTCATAATTTTATAATTACAACAAATTCACTGGTTGAGTCAAGTACTGATATACCTATACGAAAAAAAATTGCAACATTTTGTTTATCCAGTACGACATCAGTCGCATCATTAGAGCACCCAGATCGTTGTCAGAAAAATTAGGCACTTCTCAACTCTGATTATTCTCAATTCGATACTAGTGATGCACTGTTTGGAACCTTTGGTGTAGTAATTAATATTACTGGAGTTTTTTCCTAACACTAAACCGTTATTTTAAGTCCTCTACACGTGTTTTTTGATCACCATGTGGTCATTTTCAAGAGGAAGATTTGATCTGTGATCTTCCTCTTGAAGATGATCACTTGGTGATCGAAACACGTGTCGAGGTGTTGAAATAACCGTTTGGTGTTGGAAAAAAAACTCCAGTCATTTTTATTCTCAATTATGTCATAACAAAAAATGTTGTATCTGTGTTTCAAAGTAAGCGAACATTAAAAATTGAAGGAATTAAGGATTTTCATAATATAAACGATACGGTCCATTAAATGTCGCGAATTTTCTCGTTAGATGAGAGATAAAAAGACGTTTCCAAATTTTGAATCCTTGAACATATTCTGGAAACTATAATAATAAATTTCATCACAGGGGAGTGCAATACTAATATTGCATATACTTTTTATCTAATATTGTGGAGTTGTGGAACCGCAAAACAAGTTTGGGCAGAAGGAAAAGCTTTTTCAACTTGTCTTAATTGAAATGTTATAGATTTCCTAAGATATTCACGTTCGTATCTTGATTGAAATTGTTCGTTTTCCCTCAGATATTCGTGTCGTGAACGAGACTCTATATTTTTCCTCAGATAGTCACATTCCAAAATTGGTGGTTTACCCTGGAAAGTTCTTTCGAGGGTTCCCATCATTGCATCGACCCGTTTTGACATCCGTTTTTTGTTTTCTGGCAAAATGGGGTTGCCGCTACATGAATCACGTATGCGTCCAATTGAAATCATATTATAGAGTACAAAATCAGAGTATAAAATGTCTCTCCAATCCTGGCAAACAAGGGAAGCTCTCAATACATCCCTTGGAGTATCTAGGTAGCTGAAACAAAATTAATATTGAGTGTTTTTCACAACTTCACTGGTGTAATGAGCCAAAGAACTGATTTGATTCGTTTCATCAGTGAAGAAGATTTCAGTATTAATGTTATTATTGTCAATATGTCGAAGCTTTGGCTCAAAGTAAAACAAATATATTTAATTTCGATAGGAAACTAGTGAATAGCAATCCCATTCTGTGAATGCTAGTCTTTATCTGTTTACAGTGAAAAAATGAAAAGTACCTATTTATTAGGTACTTAGGTCATTGGTCAACACACAGATGTCGCTACTAGTATTGAGTTGATATGATTTTTAGTTAACCCTAACCTTTGAAAGATACGTATACAAATTTCGCAGCTGTCGGACTACTAAATTGTGGGNTAAGAATTGTGGCCGGCGTTTCCTCCACGAACTCTGCTAGAGGACTGTTTGTTAAATATAACATATTGACATTATTTTCACTCTACATATATGAACTTTGTAATTATGTTCATGAAAATAAAACTAAATTCAACAGAAATGCAAACCTGCATGACGTTAACACTCGTCAAAAAAATCATTTTCACATTCCATTTTGCAAATATAAAATCACTTATAACTCACCTGATCATATGGGGCTGAGAATCTATAACAGACTACCCCACGATATAAAAAATGTCAATGAATGTAGGAAATTCAACAAGATACTGAAAAAATTTTTAATTGAAAAATGTTTTTATTCATTGGATGAATATTTTAATATGTAGTTGGTGATAAGCCTGTTACTGTCTAGCTTATCAATCTTTTTACTTTTTACTTTTTTACCTTTTGTTGTCCCGACTATTCCTATACATATTGTACTATGTCTTTTGGAAAATAAATATTATTATTATTATAAGTACGAAGCCTATTGTTACCCCGATAAAATAATAATTCATATATCCTGCAATATTACCCAATAAACACTTGAAAAATAACCCTAGCATTTTCTTTACCTGAATATTTTCAGCCACATTTCAATAGGAAGCCTTGGCAGCTCTGTATCACTTTTTTTGTTTTGTCCAATAGTCTCCATCGTAAATTGTTACTTCACAAATATTCTACTCGTCTGAATTATAGGTACACAATGAGAGATACACTGGTGATTTGATATTTATGCATTTTCCTCAAAATCATACCTTTATGATTCCAAGAGATTTTACCTGTACCCTAATGATGAAAAGGATTAACTTTCAAATGAAAACAAGTTATAGAAAACCTGAATGAATCGAAGGGGTTTTACCTGTACCCTAACTGTGAGAAGGATTTCCTAGGATTGACTTTCAAATGAAAACGGCTGAAAGATAAATTCCTAAAATTGAATTATTCAACGTGTATACAATATGTTTCAAAGAAAATCCCTCCAATTCACTAGGTGGGTCAACAAATGCCCTCTGTTCATTACTTTGGGATCAATAAACAAATATTTCGATCTAATTTTATAGATTATTTTTTTGAACTATTCTTTCATTCAGCGTAAGGTAGCAAAGTTATTCTTTCTTGATGGGACGTCCAATTTATCAAATCAAATAGATAATTTTCTTCTTAAAAAAATGAAATTTTGTTTCTGTTTTAAAATCACTACCTCAAAGATCTGTGAAATGGTTCAATTTTTAGTTAACCTCCAGTAGATTTCATAATGAGGTGAGGGAACGTCTATATAATTTTACATATTTCATAGTTTAATATACTTACCTAACACAAATTCATGGATACCAAAAAAACATTTTTTCCATATCATTTCATCTCATTGAATTGTAACATGGATAATTTTGTGTGTGGGTTCTGGGTATTTGTAAAACTTTATCAGCAGTTTATTTACGATTGTCGGTAATGACTCCAAAAATCAAAAATTAACTAATTATTATATTCATTTTAAAGAACAGAATATCACTTGCCTAATACCAGGAAGAAAAATTTGCTTTACAATATTCGACAAATAAATTATTTTCCAAATGGCTGTCAACTTGGTCTGCCGGCATCAAAATTCACAGAATGAGGTTGAAAATAAAAAACCGAAAGTCAAATAAAAAGGAAAACAACAAAAACCTTCGTCCTGGTGATAAATAGCACGGGATACTTTCATATCCTACAGAATAATAAATCAATATAATAATGTTGTTATAGTATAGAAGACTATTGAAGTGATGATTCGTGATAATATTTCAAAATGTAAACTCTATTCATCCAGTCTGTGAAGTTCCAAACTACATCAATCGAAATATCGAAGTCCCAAAATATTACTGCTATAACACCTCAAGCGACATCCTGTAAGACAAAATATGTTAGTTAGTATAAAATTTTGCAACTGAATTATACGCAGCCGTCGATTAAGCTGAAATTTTGCATACACGTCGATGACAATGCGAGGTTAGCTAAGTTCCTCCGTTTTGAATGCAAAATGACGGACAGTTCGAGATTTTTTCATGAATCCCCATGATATGAGTATAAAATGAAATGTATCTCTAAAAATAATAAGAGAAATAACATGTCTTTACTCTTAACCCGTAATGGTAGATCGCTCAAAATGACGGACTATTTTTTTTGTGCTGGAGCACATTTGTTCAATCTTTTGTCTGAAGACTTGAAACTCGTTACCAATATGAAACATTTCAAACTATCTTTGAAAAAGTGTCTCATCCGCCATGCCTTTTATTCATTAGACGAGTATAAACAACTTAGTGACTAGTCAGTTATGTTTCAATGTACACACATCGGAAAAGTCTAGGGATATTTTCATAACATACTAAATATCATAAAAATAAATGCATGAGGTCGTTTAATTTCGATTCAATTGGTACACTCGACCACCCTGTAGATTTCTATGGGTTGAACAAAGCCTGCAAAAACGGTAACTAATC